GTTTAGACCTGGTTTTAGTTCTGGTTTAGTCCTGGTTTAGACCTGGTTTTAGTTCTGGTTTTAGTTCTGGTTTTAGTTCTGGTTTAGTCCTGGTTTAGACCTGGTTTAGACCTGGTTTTAGTCCTGGTTTAGTTCTGGTTTAGACCTGGTTTTAGTCTTGGTTTAGACCTGGTTTTAGTCCTGGTTTAGACCTGGTTTAGACCTGGTTTTAGTCCTGGTTTAGACCTGGTTTTAGTTCTGGTTTTAGTTCTGGTTTTAGTCCTGGTTCAGTTTTAGTTCTGGTTTAGTCCTGGTTTTAGACCTGGTTTAGTCCTGGTTTAGTCCTGCTTTAGACCTGGTTTAGACCTGGTTTTAGTTCTGGTTTAGACCTGGTTTAGACCTGGTTTAGTCCTGGTTTAGACCTGGTTTAGACCTGGTTTTAGTTCTGGTTTTAGTTCTGGTTTAGACCTGGATTAGTCCTGGTTTTAGTCTTGGTGTTAGTTCTGGTTTAGAGGCGCACAGGAGGAAGCGCGGTTTACGCCGCGTACGCGAGAAACACGATCCACACGCGGCTCACGGGAGGACAGCGATGTCCGCGCAGTAACTACGGAAGGAAACGTGGTCCGCGCGTTCTCAGGTTAATGACGATGATGAAGGTGTGTGTTTGTGTGTGTGTTTGTTTGTTTGTGTTTGTGTGTGTTTGTTTGTGTGCGTGTCCCCTCATGTGGCAGGTCACTATAGGACAGTAGTGCAGACATCATGAGTCTATGCAGGTTGTTTTCAGGCGATATTATATTTGTTATTTTCTTTTATATTTCACGTCGGGAGAATAATTTCCAAGACACGAATGTGTTTTTACCTGTGCACTGCTGACTCTGTTCTACTGGCTCTTCCAACGCCGCCAACGTTAACATGACGTTTACTTACGCTCTTACTGCGCGCATTTTGTGTGGCTTTCCGGCAATGAGTGGAATTACCGAAATAAAAAAATGTATGAATGTGTTTTGTGTGTGTGTTGTTGTCCCAACAACACATAAAAACAGGTTTTATAATAAAGAAACTCACATACAGAAACACTAAAGTTAGAGATTAAAAATGAGATTAACGCGATTAAAAAACATAACGCGCTAAATATGACTGTAATTAATTAATCGCAATTAACGCGATAATTTGACACCCCTAATCATAACATCAATCATGTTTATTAATACGGATGGGGGCAGCTAAAATAACATTGTTGTAACTAGTCAATTATAGAAATGACCAGGTTCAACATTAAAATCTACCAATATTACCAGTATTGGTGGTTTACAGATTCTAGACCTGAGAACTCACTGTATTACAACAAAAATCTTTTAATTTTAGCTGACAGATTTGAATTTTTATTTTACTATGGATCAAACAAGGATGACTGTGGGAACGGATTACACAGACAATTTTAGACAGAGTTTTAGTCTCACTTCTTTGATTAAAAATAGCTTTACCTGTGGTCAAGATTTGCAAAAATAACTCTATTTAGTTTGTTACGTCAGTGTAATCACTCATCTGTTAGATAGTAAACTGATCTATTATACATTTTAGTCAACCAAAAAGGCAGTAGGCATTTAATAAACCAAATTTTAGTTATTCAGCACAACGTATAATTCAGAAATCCCTTGATGAGATACTTGTAAGGGGGTGAAGAGCTGCTAGTAGCTCCCGAGCTACAAGTCGAAAAAACAAAGGTCACTGAACGTTGAGTTGAGTTACTGTATGTCAAATTTGAGCCTCTGTGATGAAAAAAAATAAATCAAAAGTTTTCTTGTAAATTTGATAATAAATAAATAAAAGAATCTATCTAATTTATCTATCTCTATCGTGAGGTTTTTATTCAGATTTTCTTTTGCAGGTGGAAATTCGAATTAAGGCGACGTATGATGGATGTAGCTTGAACTATGGACCCTGTTACAGCGGCAACTGTGGAAACAACGCCCAAATAGATGGAGGTCAAATTGACTACAGCAACAATTCACCCACGTACAACAGCCACTGGTGTGAAACTGAAACTGTCATCACAAAGGTTCTCACTAGCAACAGACCTTTCCAAACCAGGCAAGATTCGGAATATTATTTACTTCTTTAAGCACCATATATTGCTTAAGAAAATATAGACAGTAAACGATAATAGTGAAACTTCTTCATGCCACTGACACAAAGCAGGATAATCCAGGAAACCAATTTCTAATAGACAGTATCATTAAAAGTCATGAGCTGCAACAAATACGTATATAGCAGAATTAACCAATAATTAGTCATAAAAGTTATTTATGTAACCCTTTAAAGCTCAACTCTTACATAAAAATCACAATACTCTTTCATATATCGAACGATAAGTCGGTATAGTAATTACTGCCAGGCCTTTTTAAACCATCTAATATAAAGCAGTAAACGTTTAAGTCAAAAAACAGCACAAATGTCTGTAGAATCAACAATCAAAGCATCAAACTCTTATTTATCTCAAGTAAAAGAAGAGTTTAGTTCTGAATGATACGAGAATTTTCTAGAGATGCATTTGAGAAACACGTGATACAAATTAGCAGCTGTGGTTGGACTGCCTCAAGTTAACACAGAAGTTTTTCAGCCTCTGTGGTCCAATTCCAGACCCTTCTGAATCCAAACAGAATGTAGAAGGGACTGGCTGGGCAAATAATTGTATGTAAAATTTATATCTGAAACTTTGTAACCGCTTATTAAATCATTAAAACCACCAAACTTATAACAATTGTGTTATGGATATTAGTTACCATGTAGCCAGTTTGAGCTCTTAATATTTTAATTTCTGAAACATCTGGGGGGAAAATTTAACTAAAAAAACTAAACCAACTTTGAAGTGTGCAGGACTGTTCAGCTCCATTGTTGTTCAGCACTTTGGCTGTTTTAAATGTGCTCTATAAAGACATTTGATTTGATTGAAATGCTCTCACTGCCTTTACAGAGAATACAGCTGCTGCTGGGTCTGGCTGAGCCCCGGCTACACTCCCTCCTGGAGTATTCTGACTACACTGGATTTGGGAAAACGATCTGACACAAACAAGCCAAACAACTCTCCAGCTGCTGCCATCCTCCCTTTTCTACGGTAAGCCTCTGAGTAAAAATTAAATTTATACCATTTGCATAGACACACCCATATTTACTGATCTGACTAGGGTTGTCAAAAGTATTGAAAATCAGATACTAAAACTAGTATCAAAACTAGCCACTCATTTGGGCAGGTATCAATACTAAAAAAGTCACATTCACGAGACAAAAATGTCCTAAATAGCTTAAGAATTTAAGCTATTTTTAAGCTATAATTTAAGGATTTTTTTTTCTTGAACTGTATCAGAACAAGTACAAGACCACATAGACTATGCGGTCTCGAACCTACCTAGAGGACTGAAAGATTACAAGTACAAGTATGTGAAAACTAGAACAGTAACTGATGAGTGGTGTTTTGTAGACTCCCGCAGAACTGCATGAGGACATATAAGCTGTTATCTTTCGATCCTGATGGAGACAAAGTAAGATGCCGATATGGAACTGCGAAATACACAGAATGCTATGAGTGTTCAAAGCATTCTGGATTCCAATTGGATCAGGTGAGTCAATTGAACTTTTTCTATTTATTTATGGAAGTTATATTTACTACTCCTCTTACTTGACAGACTGTCGAGATACACGATAGCACAGAAGTTTGACCAAGGACAACATTACAGAATTTTCATTGCTTAAGTTTTTAATATTTCACATCACAAGAGGGTTTAGATGTCATCCATGCATGCTCGAATAATACTGCAATTTCTCCCAGATCCTATTTGAACCCTCCTTATAGTTTGCATTACGATCTTAATCAAAGCTCAGTCCAAAAGCCTATATCATCCACTGCAATTTTTGATAAGTATACAAAAGCACGATACAAAACAATGTATGACAACTTTACACGGCTGGTGCAATGTGCAGTGAGTGGGGATGCACGCTGATTGCGTCGTGATAGCGTTCTGAAGGAGGGGTGAGATTTAGCATTTTCAAACATAAAACGGTAACATGGTGATCGAAATATTTTATGTGTTAGCAGTTAATACCCCACAGAAGTAACAGACCGCCTTCTTTAAACTTTAAAAAGTATCCAATCACTCTAATGCACATTTTTACACCTGTAGGCTACCTGCACGCTACAATACCTCGCCTCCGGTAACCAAGGAATTTATGGATTTGAGCTGGTGGTCGAGGACTTTCCACATCATGACGTCAACATGTTTTACTCCGATGGATCCAGCTCTTTCAGACATGCAATGAACAACCGGAGGAAGAGAGCTGTAACAACAGCTGCACCTACTAGGACTACAACATATACAAATGCACCAACTACTAGTACACATACTACAACTGCACCAATTACTACTACTACACCAACTGCATCATCCACTACTACTGTACCGACTACTACTACAGCTGCAATTACTACTACAGCTATTACAACGACACCTCCTTTTACTACATCACGATACCCTACTTCAACTGCATCATCCACTGTTACTGCATCGACTACTACTACAGCTGCAATTACTACTACAACACCTCCTTTTACTACATCACTACACCCTACTTCAACTGCATCATCCACTACTACTGTACCGACTACTACTACTGCTGCAATTACTACTACACCTATTACTACGACACCTCCTTTTACTACATCACGATACCCTACTTCAACTGCATCATCCACCACTACTACTGCACCCATTGGTACTACAACTGCAATTACTGCTACTACTACTGCACCAGCTCTATTTACTACTACTATTCCAGTTAAGCACCATTCTGTACCTACTACTACACCTGCTTCACCCTCTACTGCATCAGTTACTACCACTACTTCTGCTGTCACTAGAGCTCCCATATATGCTTTTCTTGGTAATACTACAACAGCAAATACTACAAGCCGACTATCTACCCCTTCCAAAACTACAACGATATCTGCTTTACCCAGTATTACTTCCATGACTACTTCTACTCATCTTTCCACACTAGTTTCTATCTCCTCACCGTACTCGGGAGCTCCCTTCAGTCAACTGCCAGTGCAATTTACTTTCCAAGGTAAGCGTGGTTCTATGAATATTTGTTCATTACAAAATACTTATGATATTGATACTTTGCAGCTGATGTCATCAACATTCATTGGGGGTGTGATGTTAACTGAAGGCTCTAATCTGAAGCTCTGTTACTCAAGTTAGACTTTAACGTGAGATTTAGTTTAACACAATTTGATCATTAAGAACTGACTTAGTTGGAACTACAAGAGGAGAGTTGATTTGTTCTGAAATAACACGCTAACCAGCCTTTAAACGTGACCATGAACACTGAACACAGGCCCCTGAAAAAGTTTTGTTTAAATCAAATTTTTCTTGAGTTTTCAGACGATCCAAAAACTTACTTGATACTCTTTGATAATATGGGCATTGTGCCACCATGGCAACTGCAGAACATTCCATCAAAGACATACATCCAGTAACCCCCTCAGCATGATGTCACTGCAAAGTATCAATTGTTTCTAAGTTCCTAAGAGATCAATGTTTTTCATTTTATTTTCAGTTGACCCACCTGCTCCTTCTTGTACTGAAGGAGACTACTTACCCAAGTTTGTTTCCCCCACACCGCTCAATGGAGAAATTCTCATGGCAGAGGCTAGAAAAGAAATGGAGATAACGGTCAAGGCCGTAGCTAGCTATTCAGTGTAAGATCATACAACATGTGCATAGAATAATTCAATTTAGTTTATTAGTTAGAAAAATATAACATATTTTTCAGACCTGATGACATTATAATGAGCGGCCCGCTGAATGTCACAAAGCACAGGACCACAGCGGATGAGTTCACCATCCGATGGACTCCGATTGATGAAAACATGGGACACTACTTTCCTATCTGCTTTGCTGTTGAATTTACATACGGGTGAGGAAATGCTTGGTCTGACTGTAATTTAGCCTAAATATAAGTGGCACATTACTAAGGGTTATACATTACTCAAAACAGACACATATTAGATAAGCCACAGTAGCTGTATCTGGAGTGGTTTTGTTACATTCACATGTTTGAGTAACCCCTTATTATTAGTCTGTCTACATCTCCAAAGCTCAAGATGCTCTGTTCCACCTTGTGATGTCATGAAGTGGTAGTTTTTGGCAACCTTTTAGTTTCTGTTTCGCAGAGATCGACAATTCCAGGTCTGAATTGATCCAGTTGATTCTAGAGAAGGTGTGTGGAGTTTAAAAACACAGAGGAGCACTTCCTTTATTACCACATGATATCAGACATCAGAAGGTCGATCAGGGTGTTTTCTGTTTGAGAGAAGAATTCAACATGCAGGATTTGCGTAATTGAGTAATATGGTCCATTTAAATTACATTTCTACATATTTTTTTTTTACTTATTTTTTACTTTTACTTATGTCTAATTTTAGATTTGCCATATACCAAACTGAGATGAGATGTGTGATAGTGAAAGTTACAACTGGTTTGAGCCAGGGTGAGTGAAACACATTTTTTATTTATGTATAGCACTAGTATAGCTCCTACAGTATATATATATATATATATATATATATTTTTTTTTTTTCATTTTGTTTATTTCTTCTATTTGTAAGTTATGGTGCATTACTGAGAACCTTGGAAAGATTACTAAGGAAAACATTTTTAGTGATGGGTATTGAAACTGGGACCCGTGCCTCACTTTTCCAACTTGAAGTTTTCTGTTTCATTGCTTTTTATTCATGAACTCCTTCACTGCTAGACCAAGCTACAAAGATGAGTTCCTTGTGAGCTGTAGCTATTTCATAAGAGACAGATCTGCCACAAAACATGCCATAGACATCAGACAACCATAGAGCATTATAAAGTTATGACTAGTACATTTTGTCCCATTAGAATTTTAAGGTTCTCTTGTGATCATGTCATACTCTCTGATGATGTTTTTCTTATTAACTACATAGTACCTTTCCATAAAATATCCAAAAGGTAGATTCACAAATGTTGACACTAATCATTTCTATTAGTGACTAGACCCAAGTACTCACTCTATTACAACAAAAATCTTGCATTTGAACAATATTCATGTTAGCTGTCCCCCATCTGTATTATATATTATTGGTAAATAGTTTGTTGTGATGTTATCTGACATAGGGATGGGCATGATTAGTCGATTAATCGATAATTGATCATTAAGAATTTCATCGATTACGTTAATTTTAATCGACAAACAGAATGTAGGTTGCTGTGCGTAGCATGACCAAACAGGGGTCCGTACATGTAGCTCTCTGTACTCAGAAGGAGCGAGTAGACACAAACAGTCGGTTCGCCTGCAACATGCCGAAGCGTAGATATGTATTTAACAATGACTTGTACAAGAAATTCCATGCTCTCCGTTCCGGTCGGGACAAGTGGGAGGCCACATGCACAGTGTACAAAGCAGCACATATGTTTCGATGTCCAGTGGGAAAAAGTTTTGCCAGGTGAGAGTCGCGCAATGTCGATGAGAAGGCCCCACCTCCAGCCCCCCGTACGGTGTCCTGGTTTTGACAAACACAAATATGGTCACACTAACCTGTATTCCACTGAGTCGTGTCCTTTAATCTGACAGAAGTTGACCGCATCAGCGCACAAGAGCTGTTTTTTTTTTTTTTTTCTTCGCTTAGGTTTCAAGTTTTGTTTCTGTGAGACTTGTGCAAAGCTGCATTAAACACATTATAATCTGATGTGGCTCTAGAGCGGTTACGGTTTATATGTCGTAAAGTTGAATTTATTTATGCAGATTAGTAGTGCAGATAGTAATAATAATGATGCTCATTTCAATATAAAAACATTAATGATTAATCGATAAGCGATCGTTAATTCTTCCGACGATCGATTAAGAAAATTTTATTGAATGCCCATCCCTAATCTGAAACTAGATACTTATTTCATATTCTCTAATTTTAGCGAACACAGTGGTCACCTGTCTGGAGTCTTCGATGATTGTGGAGGTGGAGAAAGCCACATTGCCTCCACTCCATTATCAAGATCTGCGTCTGTCTGATCCCAGTAACACAGTTTGCAGCCTCCAGTCCAACAGCACCCACGTGGTCGCTATAGTGCCCCTCAACGCCTGCGGCACCCAGATCGAGGTAAGCACGGACGACTGTGGAGACATATTAGTTTAAAGACTGTTATTAGTGAAACAAGACAATACATTACAATACAAGTGTTTGTCAAAGTAATAAATAGCATGTGCTCCTACTGGTTTAAAACAGAAATAAAATCAGAAGTGAGCATGGGATCATTCGCTGAAAAGAGCATATATCAAGTTTGGGTCTATTTCAAACTGATTTTAGTGTTAGGATCGGGCAGCTTAAAGTGATGGACTCATTCTGCTTTCCATTTAAATATTTAGCTTACCATATCAGGCAAAAAAATAAATAAAAAGAAAAAAATATATTTATTATAATATTGTTATTGGTAATATCTACATTTGATTTGATCACGTTTTTAAAGCACATCATGGACTCATTGTTTTCTACACTCATTCACACGGTCTGAGGTCTGAGGGCCACCTCCACTTTCCAAAAACGAGACTCAAAACCCGGGGTGACAGGGCCTTTTCTGTGGTTGGCCCCAAACTTTAGAACGCTTTTCCCCCACATTAAGAGCGCCCCTTCAGTCACACTTTTACTCACCTGCTTTTAACACGACGTGAGAATTGCGTGCTCCTCTGACTGTCTTTTATTGATGTTATTTGCTAATTTTAGTATTTTTTATGTTTTTATTGACTTGCTTATTTATTTATTTTATGTTTTATTTTATTGAACGTGTTAATTTATATTGCACCTAATCTGTGCAGCACTTTGGAGACTTTGTGTTGGTAAAATGTGCTCTACAAATAAAGTTGGATTGGACTGTAACTTTAATGTAATAAAGTAATAAACAATAACCCTACAATAAGGCTCAAACCATATTCCCATTTTTGACAAAACCCTTGGAAATGTGTAAAGATGAAACTATGGAGTATAAAAATGAAAAATATGGTGAAATGATGTACAAACCACAAGTCCCGTTAATAGTTATTAGCGTCATATTATCAGCCTGATCAAAACCAGCATAATCTGTACCTGTAAAAACAACAGAATGTGTGTTAGTATCATAGAACTGTAATAAAATATAAAGGTTTAAAATAGAACAACGGTTGCAGAAAGATAGAAAAGTGCAAACTCACGACAATTTATCGACAAAACATTAGAAAAAGTTGTCATACCTTAACATTGGCAGGAGTTGAACAATACAAGCAAACAATATTAGATAACAGCTTCGTTCAATATCACATAGACAACATTTACTTACCCATATTTAATCTATTTACCGCTTTTTCTACTTGTCTTTTAATATATTTTGTCATATTAAAGTCAAGTCCGACAAACCCCGGAGATGCTACCGTTAGCCAAACCGTCATCAACGGAACTGAACCGAAGTGAACACATAAGTATAAAAATAGTATAAAAAATAGTCTTGAAAAGGTCAGACACGTTCTTTAAGCTAAAATGTAAAGTAAAAATGTAAACTGGTTGGTCTTTTCGTCCGTTTTGATTGTAAAAACGGGGAAAAATAAAATCACTCATGCTGTTTGGTGCTGCTCTCTTCAGTTTAACTCCCAGGGTACGTGCAGGTCAGACATATAGTTTCTGGGTTTTTTTGTTTGTTTGTTTGGGTTTTTTTTTTTTTTTGCTGCTTTTCCTTTTACTACCACCAAAAGTAATCAGACAACAACAAAAAGTAGGAATATTATTCCTGAAATAAAAGTGTGTATTTATGACTAAAAAATATTGCAATGTAACAATGTAAAGAGTGTAGTTCTGGTGATATTTAGGCAGTGAATAATAATAATAATAATAATAATAATAATTACAATTATTATTATTATTATTATTATTATTATATTAATTAATGTATTTATTATTATTATTATTTTATTTTATTTTATTTTTTGTAAGTATGTGTGTGTGTGTGTGTGTGTGTGTAAATGTGCAGTTTTCTGGTCAAAAGCACATAAATTTTACTATGCGCTTCCCCGCTGTGGTAGGCTGCAATTTAGATTTAGACATAGACAAACTTTATTGAGCCACAGGGGAAATTATTTGGACACAGTAGCTCACACATCACAATATAATATAATAACAAAGGTGGTAATAATAAATTCTAAATAAATAGCAAAAAATTTTTTGCAAGAGACAGGTGTCAATAAAGTAACTATACAAGTCCAAATAAAATAGAAAGACAAGTAATAAAATATAACATCACAGCTTTATTCAAGAGGTTATGCAGCAATGATACAATGATTGACAGGACATAGGGTTAGCCGTTACATAAGGGTGAATTGTTGTACAGTTGTAGGGAGTATTATCTGTTACATAAGGGTGAGTTGTTGTACAGTTGTAGGGAGTATTATCTGTTATATAAGGCTGAGTTGTTGTACAGTTGTATGGAGTATGGTATGAATGTAGTCCTGTATCTCTCACTGTTTGAGCAGAGCTGTAGGAGCCTGTTGGAGAATGAGCTCCTCTGTCCCTCTAAAGTTTTCCAATAGTTGGTGACATCACACAGGACTGCCCTGATTAAAACCAGGTGTTTGGTCTCATTTTAAAGCAACACGCTCAAAGTTAAGAAATGTGCCACCAATTAAGGTAAGGTTTTTGCATAAACTGTTACTTTTAAAATATTTTTAACAGGAGGATGACGATGATCTACTTTTCAAGAATGAGATCACCACGGTGGACAATAGGTCTACCCTCATCACCAGAAAACACATGCTGGAAATCAAGTTCTTCTGCCAGTACTCCAAAAGAGGAAATGTGACCGCCACCTTCAGCGCTCACAGGGAGAATGTGACAGTGTGGGACAAGGGCTTTGGGAAGTTCACCTATGGCTTTGAGTTCTTCCCAGATCAGAGGTTTGTCTCCAGGATCGACCCCCGGCTCTACCCTCTGGAGTATGACGTGGGTGATCGCATCTTCATGGAGATTGAAGCCACAACTATAGTCAACAACACAGAGCTGTTTGTGGAGTCCTGCAGAGCTGCACCCTATGACAACCCCAACTACCCCCATCCCTACAGCCTCATTGAGAACGGGTGAGTAAATGAAAATTGACAATTTATCTAGAGATGTAATGGATTGGCATGAAATAATTGTATAATTACAACATTTGTCTTTCCTTGTTTTTAACAGCTGTAACTTGGACAGTACACTGATCGTTTATACAACCATTAACAAAAAGCAATTCAAATTCAGTATTGAAGCGTTCAAGTTCATTGGCTTGCATGACAAGGTAAACACATCATACTTATAATAACAAAACAAAGAGTTTACTCATCAGTGTCAGACTTTATTTGATTTTCGATTCAAAGATGTGGTCATGTCCCTCTCAGATACAGGCTGAGCATTCGATTATGAGTGATAAATTAACAGAGCTTCTGACGGAGCAGTATCTACAGTTAGCTTTGTTAGACTAAATCAAAAATACAAATGTAAGAAGTAGTTATATTATACGTAGTACCAGTATAAGTAATATTACTTTAGTCTGTTCCTATTCCAATTAAATACTACAAGCCAAACAAATGTTGTGACGTTTTGTGAAATTAACTAAAGTGACATACAGCAACATGTGAAATATTTCTTTATGTTATTCCCAGGTCTACATCAGCTGCTCAGTGTTGATGTGTGAAGCTGGAAACCCACACACTCGCTGTTCTCAGGGATGTCTGCCCAATGCAACAACAAGAGCCAAAAGAGAGGCCGTCATTGAGTCTGGAATCCACTATGTGTCCCAGGGCCCACTGCGCCTCAAGAGATCTGTGCAGGCAGGAAACACAGGTAGGCTAAGATTTCACTGCATTTTTCACTGTTTTGTCTGTTCTGTCTTTGTTTTGTGTTAAACTATTGTGAAGCATCGAGTGTTGACTTACTGTGAAAAGTGCTAGAAAAAAGTATTCTTCCTATTATTAAAATAGACCTGCATAAGTCTAAATAAGCTGAATTCTGATCAATCATATTAAACAGAACTAAGCATAACTGTTACCATATTACAGTTTTTTCAATCACTTTGACAACAATTTGAAAAATGTACATTTCCAAAACAGTTCACTAAATATCCTAAATAGATTTTTAGTTTCCTTAAACAAAATTTTATCTAGGCAAAATGCTGTTTTTCCATTTAAAACTGACCAATCATCTCCTTAAAGCAAATTTTCCATCCAAACTTTTGTCATGAGTTTTTGTCACTTTATAATAACATAGGTAAAAGCATGAACAAAGCCTTAGATAATACTCTAACTCCTAACTCTAACCTATTAATTGAGTAGTTACTTGTTCATTATTAATTAAGTCTTTGTTCATGCTTTAATGAGGCATGAATATGTATAGTTATTATAAAGCGCTGCCTATAATTCTTCTAAAATGTTGCTAATTATTTCTTATCATCAAGCAATGGATTGTTGAATTGTAACCACACCTCTTCTTCTTACTTTCCTCCAGGCCTGAGCTTGAACCTGGTCTTCATCGCTGGCAGTGCTTTAGTCGCTGTGGGAATGATCTGTGGAGTCTTTCTTTACAAAACCAAAACCTCAAGCTTTAAATACCAACTTCTTTCTTCAGAGGAAAATTAAATGCAGTCATCCAGTTTAATAAAAAACAATGCATGCATGTTCATTTTTTACTATCAATCACTTGTATAAATGTTCTATTTTGTATTGACTACAAGATAAAGTAGTTTAAGTGTACGAATATCTCATAAGTAATTAGAAAATCCATACCTTTTACAATAATATGGGTATGAGGCATGTTAATCTTGGACAGTACAGTGGTTTTTGACACACTTTGAAATGTTACTGAAAAAGAAAAAGAATTACTGAAAAAAAAAATAGATGATAAAACAAAAAGTAAATGTTCAATATCTTTAAAACCATCCAGCAAATAAATAGCATAATGATATACTTTTGTCTGTATCTTTAATGAGTAACAGAAGTCACTTACTCGACCTTGCACAGCTCAAATCTCATCATAATACAGAAAAATAAGAAAAAGTTCCCCACTAGTACAAACAAAAAGCATAATAAATACTGACCCAGTTCCATCTGTCATCCATTGAACAACAAGTAGATGTATTAATTATTACTTTTTTCAATGTCAGAGTAGTGCTTTTTGGTTTCAGACTGCTTATTTCACGTGACAGTAATTTGCAGTTTTTAACAGGGTAGGGGTACAAATAAGCGTACACTTTCATTGCCATAATTTTACGATACTTGTAATAGTCTGCTGAATGAATTAATGAATTAATAAATCAATGCAAAATTCTGTCAATCAACCAGTTAATAAAGAAATCAATCTGCTGTTGAGTCTTATTCTATGTCACCACAAGATGGCGTCCTTTGGTAATTTATTCATGTTAACACGCGACAGTTTCTGAATTTGAGCCTAAATAAAGACACACTTGACGTGGCGTTTGTGGGTCAAATTCATAATCTAACTACTACTACTTTAAAGGCCTACATTACATTATTAGATTTTTAAGCAAACACATTTGTTAGATATATTCTTACCATATAACAACATAAATACTAGTCATGATATAAAGCATCATTTCTGAGCACTCCTAATGACTCATGCAGGTCACACACGTCGAACAGAAATATAAGTTTATCTTACAGAGTGTTATGGAGTGAAGAGGCCAGAGGAAGAGGAGCGCTCTCTTTCCTCTCTTTCCTCTTGTTGCTGCTGTAGTCTGTGCGGTGCTCACCGGGGGAGCCTGTGTCGTGGCTCATGAGCGGCTCCGGCTCCAGCTCCAGCTCCGGTCTGAGCCCATTGGCTGCGCTGAGGTCCCGACTCCAGACCGCCGAGGCGGGCAGCAGAGGACAGGGAAGCGCCGAGCCCGCGGACTATTCGGTGGAAATACAGAGAAACACCACAAAGCCGGGCGGAACTGGGACTACGACGTTTTTCTACTGGATTATTGGATAAAAGCCCGAGAAACAGACACTTTTTGATCGGGAAGTTTGAGCGGACCCGTGATGTGGTGACGCGACTGCACCGAGCACTGGGAAGCTAGCGTTAGCTACTAGCTAACTACTCTAAGAAAACCACAACAGATGAGACCTGTAGCAGCGTTTGCTGTCACTTTTAAGTATTGCAAATAATACAGTTTATGCAAACGGAAAGGATCGCATCATGTTGTTTACTTTCCTACTAAGCAAATCCTCTTTAAGAGTTGTTTGATTTGATGTGTGTAACTAGCAAACATTAGCTAACTAGCTGGCTAGTAGCTAACCCTGACTAGCTGAACCTTTAAAACTGACTTCAAGCCAAAGAATTCTGATTCAAATGTGCAAACATTTGCGATTAAAACTCTTTTACAGTGTAGTGCAATTGTATAGCAACGTGTGTGTGTGTTTTAGCTGCTTTCACTGAGCAGAGTTTTTAAACTATCGTTTAAAGAGAATAAAACTATTTTCTTCTCATCAGATATGCAATCACCGAATCACCAGCTTACTTGATGCTAGCTTGCTAACGCAGTGTTAGCCGGCCAAACTTGGATACTGCTGCCCCCTGCTCACTTTACGTGGGTTTCCCTTTGAGGCCTTTTGGAGTAACTCTTTTCACGGAAAAGCCTTATGGATACCAGCCTCTGAGTGGAATCTGTATTTCCTCTTCTGAGTTTTGACTGTGGATGTATCTGCGGTTTGATTTACGACCTTGATCGGCTTGATTTGCAGTGGACAACATTGGAACCGTCTTTTAATCCAAGGTAAAGAGCACTATGGTGAACAATATAAACAACCCTCTATTAGCAAGACTTCAGAAGTTTATTGTTTACACTACTGACACATCTCGCTTGAAGCTATGATTTATCTTCACCTCTTAAAATCTTATCTTGATGCATTCCTTTCTCCTTAATAATATTTCTAATGCGCCCTTGAACTGACAGCAAAGTTAATTTTTTAAACTAACCATAAACACATCATCAGTTTGGTTCATATGATCCAGGGCTGAGGAGGTGCTGATTGTCCCACTACCTTGAAGGTTTGGCCCGGGCTGAGTTCCAGTGATGGGCCATCTGTCATAGACCCCTCCCCCGTAAACAGTGCGGCGCTTGAGTGGCTTGACCTGGATATTGTAGCTGGCTTTCTGTTGTCCCAATGCTAAATTAGGTTAAGTTGCACGCACAAGGTAACAGTGGCTTTGTACTGTGTACGTTATTGTAATGGAAATAATCAAAGCCATTTAATGTGTAAACATTTGTCTTGGGTGTTTTATCATACCTATACATCCAAACTGTCATTTTACTGTATTAATCAATTGTTTAGATGTTATTTTATGTTTAAGTAGTATATTTTAATCAAATGCTCTTGGTTGAGATTAATTATATACGATAAAACATTTTGAAGTATCATATTGATACAGACAAATATTGCGATTTGGCCTGGGTATAATTAAGAAGTTTCAGATACGATACATACCTTGATACATAGGCCATGATACGATACGTTTTTCAGTACAGTGTACTTTCGATGTAATACGATTTGACATGATATATTTCAAATCAGTTCAATATGGTTCAATGAAAAACAAAGGCTAAATCATGGCTGTGATACTAAAAATCCACTAAGTGCACTAAGTTTGTGCAGAGTTAATATGAAAAACACCCATTTTACTCATCAAAATGGTGAATTTGTCAGCACAATTGTAGCTCTTACACAAATTAATTTATGAAAATACACCTAAAACTACTCTTGGCGATATATGGGAGCCCATGAAAGCGATTAGAAGTGTGTAAAAATATTGAAATATAGATATATTGTATTGTTTAATGTGATGATACTGTATCGATATATCAACAAGAGTATTTTTTGGTATATTTTACTAAATTATTTTGTTACAGCGCTACAGTTTTGTTGCTTATTTAGAGGAAGGAAATTCATTTGTGCAACACATTTGACATTTTCACTGTTTTGAGTATTAAAATGGGTGTTTTTCATATCCACTTTGCACAAGAAGTGGTTTAACAAAGACTTTTAGTATCACAACCATGATTTTGCTTTTATTTTTTATTGAACCGTATCGAATCAATTTGAAATATATCATACTGAATCCAAAGCTCACTGTATCAAGATATGTATCGTATCGGCAAATTCTTAATGATACCCAGCCCTAATATCGATACTGTGTCATCAAATTAAACGATACAATATACTGATATTTCAATATTTTTGCACACTCCTAAATGCGTAATCGACAATACTGAAACTATTATTATGCCACTGATTCAATTAAAATAAAGCAAGACAATACCACTACATCGCTCTCAATAGACAGTATCATTAAAAGACATGAGCTGCAACAAATAAATAAGAGAATGAACTAATGATTAGCCATAAAAGTGAATTATTCAACCTTCTACAGCTCAAATATTCATTTCATATTACAAATAAAATAAAAGAAATCTCCCCGCTGTTGCTGCTTTGTCAGTGTAGTTATTATTGTGAAAGGCCAAGTTTCCCAGTTGTGTCACGAATGGTCTTATCTTATCTGATCTTGAGCTTGGCATGGCTGATTTCCTTCTGTTTATTGTTATTATTGACCGTCTTTCAAACCGTTGTTACCATGTTATTAGAGCACTCAGTGAAATTCGGTTTTATAAGACGTATTTAATAAACAGCTGTCTTTTTCAGGCGACAGATTTCGTGAAACAAGTGTAATGATCGCAGTCAACAACAGCGCATTGTCAAAACTATTGATTTAAACGTGCATAGGCTGGGATAGGAAACTGGAAAGTGAGTCATTCATTCACAAAACACACAGACTGTATAAATAAGTGGACTAAGGCAGTGTGACGCCATCCATAGTGTTCGGCTCCAGTCAAATGAAGCTCACCGAGGCTGGAGGTTATAGGAGCGGATTTGGAGCCCAGTTCCATTTTAGGAGTAATTGATTTATGAACAAAATGGCAAAATAAAAACACCAGGATCACATTGAGCGGGTTAATATGAACATTTAAAGACCAAAATGACGAGGCTCACAGCAGCAGTTACAGAAAGAGTGGCAACAATTTTTCAATGTAAAGTCAATTTGGAAATAAAGTTGATGGAGCCTGATGCGCGCTCATGCTCACTTCCTATTTGGAACACGCTGGCTCGCAGCTTAACTATGTCTTTTTAAAATATAAATAAGAATAATTAAATGCTGCTTGTTTCTATGGAGATGTCATTGCTCTGCCTGGAATGTTCCACAGTGTGACATTAAACAGCTCTACCTTTTATTTATTAATCCAGACAAAGCAATAACATGTCCATGGAGAAAAGCATTTAATGGACCTTCCACCAGAAAAAATCACAAAATGCACCTTTTAAAAATGACATGAATGGTTAGATAGTGTGTTTTTTTGTTTAGTTTTTTTGTCTGTTCATTTACTCCAACACTTCAGCTTCATCTGGGTCAAATTTAGTAAAAATCTCACATCCACGGGCCTTTCTAAACAACTAATTGATTTAATTGAAAGAATAATTCCTAAACTAATTGATTAACTAAATACCCGTTAGTTGCAGAGTTAAATCAATGTTTTGAAAAAGTAGTTGGCTTGATTTGCATTATTTGTGAGTGATTAAAGGTATGTGAAATCCCGTTCACATGATTCTTAACTCTGTGTCCACTGCACCTAAGCCCTTTCTGTTGAGGGCGGCTTTAATTCCTCAGACCTCCTTGTCCAGCTGTTCTTAGATCAAGAGCCGCACAACAACAAAACACCCAGCTGAACAATATTAGGAAAACACGCACATGCACAATTTATGGACTATTGTAATAAGAAGAATACAAAGCCTTTTCACGTATAGTCCGATTGTCATGCAGTGTTTACATTTAACGAGATAGCTCAGGGAATTTAATGGTTATGTAACAGAATTTATATATTTTCTAAAATACTACAGGTTACTGCAGGCCCTGGTTCTGGAAGTAAATTTCCCGTGCATTTCCCAATAGATTTTCCGAATAAAAATGTATATTGAAAGCTGGAAAGTTACCTCAGGACTAATCAACTATGTGGGAACTAGGACTAGGTATCATTAAGAAGTTGTCGACTAGTGGTGTGCAAAAATACCAAAATATCAATATATTATATCATTTAATGTGATGATACAGTATCGATATCATGGGCTACTGTATCATATTTTTTGGTATATTTTACTAAATTCTTTTGTTACTGAGCTACAGTTTTGTTGCTTGCTAAGTGGAAGGAAACTTGTTCATGTGACACATTTGACATTTTCACCGTTTTGATGATTAAAATGTTTGTGTTTCATATGAACTTTGCACAAGAAATGGTTTAACAAAGACTTTTAGTATCACAGCCATGGTTTAGACATTATTTTTTAATGAACAGTATGGAATCGATTTGAAATACCATATTTTCCGGGCTATTAGGCACGCTCTTAAGCCTCCAACGGCCGCGTGCCTCAATCCAGAGCGCCCTATACACGAATCCACTCGGGTGTCCCAGCACGACTTCAGTAAACTGCAAAGCCGCAGCACCCGCAGCGCACGCAAACACACACGGAGCAGACAGCGACCGCACAGCGAAACACACCCACAGACACACTCATCACTCCACGCTGACGAGGAACGGAGGAACGGACCGAAAAAGCGAGTTCAATGTGCCACTTCTAGACACAACTGAACAACTGAGTCACTGCGAACACACCAACAATCCAGCGGTCCCAGACAGCACCCTCCCTACACGCCACAACTGAACAAAGCCCAGAGTCACTGTGAACGCCACAAACAAACAAAACCACTCACCCATCCAACTGTTGTGTTTCGTTTAAAGTCCAGTGCGGTTTATTTGTGAAAAAAGTTTGAAAATAGACCATTTAATGACAGTGCGTAATAGCCCGGAAAATACGGTACATCGTATCGAACCAAAAGTGCACTGTGTCGAGATATGTATCGTATTGTATCGGCAACTTCTTAAGGATACCCAGCCCCATTGCCGACATGATACATATCTCGATACAGTGCACTTTCGATTCAATACAATGTATTTTAAATCCATTCAATACAGTTCAATAAAAACAATGTCTAAATCATGGCTGTGGTACTAAAAGTCTTTGTTAAACCACTTCTTGTGTAATGTGAATATGAAAAACACCCATTTTAATCCTCAGAACAGTGAAAATGTAAAATGTGTTGCGCAAACGAGTTTCCTTCCTCTAAATAAGCAACAAAACTGTAGAGCTGTAACAAAATAATTTAGTAAAATATACCAAAAAATACGAATATATATATATATATATATATATATATATATATATATATATATATATATATAATAAGAGACAGCAGCCCATGATATTGATACTGTATCATCACATGAGGCAATACAATATATCAGTGTTTTTGATATTTTTGCACACCCCTAATGGTATCTAATGACCACAACATCTATAATTTTATTTAATCTGTTCTTGAAACATTATAGCCGCTAAATTATTAAAACATTTCACAGAATCTTGTGCTTTTAAGTGTGTTTTTTGGTTGTTTGACTTAAAACAATAGAACAGTGGATATTAGTTAGTACGAAGCTGGTTGGCCTCTGCAGTGTCTTTGAACTCTTAATATTTTAATTATTCGAAAAGTCTATGAGAAAAATGAATAAAAAAGTTGGTTTACTGTGCTATATATTTCAGTGGCAACACAAAGCCATTGATGAAATAAGGTGGGACACTTGTTTACGCACATGGCTAATTTGCATAACAGATGAACAAGTCGATTCTTGCAGAGAGCTTACAGGCACAGAAACATTTACAGATTATTGTTTTGAATATGAAAGAAATAAGAACCCTTTACAGTTACTTTTGTACAGTTTTGAGTGCAGGACCCCCATTGTCCATCTTTTCACTCTAAAAATAAAATGTTATGTTTTTGGTGCAAATAGTGCTGTTTCAAAATCAAATAGCCTCATTTTATTGAAACATTTTAGATTGAATTATGAATCAACTTTGCCTTTTGTAATCTTCGTGGAATCCTGTGAGGGATATGGCTTAATATTCGCAAGGAATTTCAAGATGTTCAGCCAGTGGATTTAAATTAAGTCCATAACTCACAAACTCATGCTGCCTTTTTTTTTTTAAACACAAACCTGTAAGAGCATTGGAGTCACATTTTGTGCTGTTATCTCTTCTGGCTGAAGTGTTCAAATTAAGCTTTATGTGTACTTTATGTTGCAGTTGGATGGCCAAAATTAAATATCGGCCTGTGCTGGGGCTTTGAGGCCGATGACCTATATGCTAAAAAGTGAAAATATTGGCTTGATGTTTCTTCATCACAAACATATCTGGAGTTTTTAACACAAAAACCCTGCACAGAGTTCTTCTTTAAAACAGAAAACACTCTGTTGCACCATGTGATGTCTGTCATGTGGTAAAACGGTGCTCCAAACACCTAGAATCAGCCCTGGAACTGTCAATCTTCACAAAACCAAAGCTAAAAGATTTTAACTTAAATCACCACTTCATGACAAGGTGGAAAAGAATGTTTTTGAACTTTGGAGATGTAGACAAACTAATAAACCAGGCTTACTTAAACATGTGTGAATTAAACAAACACAAATCCAGGTCTGTTTTTGATGACGTAACAACATTCTAACATGGCTTAAAGCTCACAAGAGTCAATTTTGCATAATTTAGGAGCTTTTAAAGACAAATTATTAGGGGTGTAAAGATATCCAAGTCTCACGATACTTTATTGTCGCGGTATGAACCTCACGGTACGATATTTATTGTGATATCGTGGGGAAGCTCATGATTAGGGATGTAACAATATCCAAATCTCTCAGTACTATATTGTCACGATATTTTTTAGAGGCCAATATGCTACTTTTTCCACTTAAAATACCTTGACCAAAGAACTAAGACTTAAAAGTGCTTAGAACTGTTAATTCTTCTTGTATTCTGCACTGAAATGGAGCAAAGGATCATGGTCTATGCAGTTCCCTCTCTCTTTTTTAGCTTTTGCTGCACCATAACTCTTCATTTAAGCAAAGAGACTTGTAATTCGATATATTGTGATGGTCCATGATATTATTGTGAGAACTTTGACAATACGATATCAGAATATTTCGGGTATTGTTACATCCCTACTTAATACCTTTGTGATTGTATTTCTGTTCATTACTGTGCCTAAATCTGCTTCTCTCCTGCGGCAGATGATGTGCGAGGTGATGCCCACCATCAGTGAGGCGGAGGGCCCGGGGCGGCGGGGGTCCGGGTCCCCTCTGCAGTCAGACTCTGAGGGGCACTTTGAGTCTCTGATGGTGTCGATGCTGGAGGAACGGGACCGACTGCTGGAGACGCTCAGAGAAACTCAGGAGAACCTGGGGCTGGCTCAGGGCAAACTGCACGAAGTCAGCCACGAGAGAGACTCACTACAGAGACAACTCAACACAGCACTACCACAGGTCAGCACAAGTTCACTCGCTGTTTGAGATAGAAAAAACAACTCGCATTAGGATTCAGCGTTCATATGGATAAGAGAGAGTCACTACAGAGACGGCTCAGCTCAGCACTACCATCGATCAGCACAAGCTCACTCTATTCCATCGTCAAAAACATTTTCGAAGAGGATGTAAATGTCATCCCTGCTTGTTTGAGTAATTTACCGATCTCTTCCGGGCCCTATTCTTATACAAACTTTATCGATCCACAAGGGAAATTATTTATTCAAACCTTACCTGATGAGACAGATCCACACACTTTGACAAAACTTTACAAAAACGAGTGAATCTGAAGCTGCATCCTGTCTCCCTCATTTCAGAGCATCAAAAATTAAACTGTAAATTACAGAAAAATAATACTTTTTTTTTTCAGCAAATCTAGCATGTTCAAAACAATAAAAGTTAACTTGGTGATCTAAATATGTTTTGTGTTAGCAGTTAATACCGCAGAGAAGTAAAATACATTGACATTGACATTGCTGATCATTATTTTATAGTTTTTTTTAAGCTTTTTTTGTGTAGACCAGATATTACTATGGTCCATGCGACAAATATATATTGAAATACTTTACCACAACAACAACAAAAAACTTTATTCTTTGCAGTTTAAGTTGAAATTGAGCTGATCCCATAGTTGTAACATATCCTCTCTTATAATTACTGATTCACTGTCTTTGTGCTTTGTAGTTTAGTTTTGTTCATCGTGGAGAGAAGTTTGTTAAATGTTCCCAATCACCTGTTTAATTGTTAAAAACCTGCTCCCGCCTGGACCATCTGCTCACGGCTCTTTGTTATAAAACTGTCTCATGTTTCTATTCTCCGAGGCCCTACCTTTAAACCAGCCGATCGGGTTACATACGTTTAGTGATGTACAAAAAGGCTTAAATTAAAAGTGGCTTCGGAGCTTCCTCTTTTTATTGACTGACATGTTTTACAGATGTGGCTACTTCTACGTGCTACGAGATCCTTTATCAATACTTTCTTTGAAGAATTGGTTCTGAATATGCATTTATTTGTTTTTTCTTGTTCAGCTCATGGTTTAAATAATAATAAAATAACACATCAGACTTTAGTCCTGGTTGGGTCCTGGTTTAGTTCTATTTTAGACCTTATTTTATCATGGATGGATGCTGATTTCTTGTCTTGTTTGGTTGAATCTCATCTTTTTTGTGTCTTCTGCCATGGTTTAGTCCATGATTTTTTCCAATATCTCCTGCTTTTCTTCTTTGTATTTCATATTTTAACAATACCCTCTTTATTTGTGTAGAACTCGACAAGGTTTTAGGCAGGCTGGTGCTACCTAATGCCTCCACTCAATTTAATTTCTCTTCAGTGACTAGATCAGGAATCGGAACATACTAGACGATTTGCAGAAACCCCGGAAGTGCAAGTTTGGGCACCAGCCAATCAGCAAAGAGCCATACATTCTGTGTCGTCAACGATTCCTGAGATCGAGGATTTAAAGCTGGAATAAAGAGAATGTTTGGTGAATTTTATCAAGGAGTAAGACGTTATTGTCCTTCTTCCTATGGGATTTGGGAAAAGATTAATATACCAGTTAGCCCCTTTAGTGGCGCATTACATACATCACGACCAAATAGCAGCGATTGGTTAAATGATTAAAAAGTACCCACCTACCATCAAGCGAATGAATCCTAACACTGTGAGGTCAGACGGTTTCTATGAAGTGAAACCGGCTGATGAATCCTAACAAGGTTTAGGTTCAGATAATAATTTTCAAATATTGTGTACAGTCTGATTAAGTTTAATTAAATAGTCAGAAAATGTATAATATCTGTAATTGGAGAATATATCGCAGTCCATCCAAAATATGAATTGTTGACATGATCAAACTATTTTGGTTAAGTTCTCTGCAAACTACACAATATCCAGTTTTTATTAGGGATGTAACAATAATCGAAATGTTGTGATATCTTAAGTCTTCATCGATTATCGATCGTTGTATTGAGTATCGTCAAAAGTCTCACAATAATATCGTGTGCTGTCACAATATATCAAATTACAAGTTTCTTTGCTTAAATGCATGGTTTTATAGTAGCAACAGCTTATAAACATCGGGAACTACATATCCCAAGATTCATTTCAGCGCGAACAACGTGAAGTTATGTTTTTTACTTGAATTCTTGGGATTATGACAGAAATAATTCACACCAAAATCTTATCAGGGTATTTTAAAAGCAAAAAAAGCAATAATATTTGCCTCTCCAAAATATTGCAATAAATATCGTACCGTGAGATGCATATCGTGATAAGATCGGACCGTGAGATTTGGATATCGTTACGTCCCTAGTAGACACCAGTCTTTTATTATTATTTATTAGTCTATTTTAGTTAATATCGCAACAATTATTGTCCCTCAGATGCATATCGTGATAATATCGTACCGTGAGATTTAGATATCGTTACATCCCTAGTTTTTATGGATACGTTTTTCCTGTTATTTGGAAATCTGAACCATGTTGTGCAGCGCTTCTGATTCTTTATTATTTCACACTCTTGGTTTAAATAGTATTTTAGTCTATTCTAGTGTCACATGTGTTTAAAGTGTAAACTGTGAACTAAACACACGACCATATGGAGTTCATTATTTTGCTGATGAAAGTGAAGGCTCCTGTATAAATGTATAATCTTCTACCTTTCACTTCATGTAATTTCCTTTACCTTTCTTTAGGTATAATCATGATGGTAATAGTAATCTCCACCTTACCTATTAATATTACATACAAAGTGATATCAGAGTTGGATACAGCCTTGACCTATAGCCTTGTGCTGAATAATTTATTGTGACATTTAAATGCAACGTCCCATTATTTTTTCTGATTCATCCTTTGCCAGTTCTAACGAGGTCCTGCTGCTTTATGTAAGAAGGGCAAATTGTAATAATGAAAATAGATAGAAATTCTCTGCACGTCTAACTATAATGGAGGGTAAATTAAAGAGGAGCATCATCTATCTTCTTTTCCTTAACATCAATATTTATATAATACCAGAATATATAAATATCACTTGCTTGATCTGATGACTGATGAAGGATTTCACAAAGATGTAGTAACTATTAACATTACAGCCTTTAACATGTGAGCTCAATCAATTTAGACTTTAATCTGAGTGACGTTTTAGCACAATCTGGTATCATTACTGCAAATAATCACATTAACAGGACAAAATTTGAGCTTTCCTTAACAGTTTTTTGTCAGAACTAGTATAAGACCTCATGGCAACATAAAGAAAGTATTATTATGTTGTGCATGAAAATTATATTCTATTGATTAAATTGTATCGTTATTGGTAATGAGTATTTAGTCAATTCCTTAGTATCGAAATCAAGTTTGAAAGTTTTGTTTCACTACAACACTATTAAAGCTGCATTGTAAATCCTTTCTAATGGAGGGCCTGTCAAATGCTTTTCTTCCTTGAGATGTTGTTGCTTTATTGCTGGAATGTTTCACAGTATGGCATTAAATCTTTTTTTCTTCATGGAGACCAAAACAGACCAAATCACAGGTCAGATCTGTGGAGAGACGACCACACTCACAGTCAGAATGTCTGTTTTTCTAGGTATTTTTGAGATATGAAACAACCTGTAATTGAATAAATGTAAAGTAGAGTTGTTTAATGTCATAGTCACCACGTTTACATGATGGTTTTTAATTCAGAATTAAAATATTCTCCTTCGAATTTAAATGGAAATAATAATTCCAAATTGAGGTCAAGAAGGGTTCTGATTGGACAGAGACCGGAAGAAAACACGCTTTAGCTGCTATCGACTTTTTTGTCATCTCGGTTTGTCGTTACGCCACGGATACAAACATGATAAACTTGTTTCGCAGTCGTTCCGATGATAATTGCGCAGCAGCTCGAGAATTATCTCATCATGCTTTACGTCTGTCGGCTGAGGAGGAGAAGGGAAGAGTGTTGGAGAAGGGAGGAAGAAGACAAACTGAGTCGACGGCTGCTCTACCTCAGCCCACTCCCACATCCCGCTCACAAATCCAAAGAGACGTGGAGGAAAGTCTGATGCTACGACTGGTGCAGCTGGATCGTCTGGATCATATCAGAAGGGCGACACAACGAGCATGCGCTGAACAGCCGGAATTTTTAAGAAGAATAAACGTTTACATTTAATTCAGCTTTTAAATCCGAATAAACCACCCACTTGCTTCAGAATTAAGTTTAATTCCGAATAATCATGGTCTTTTTAAAGCGGAATAAATTTTTATTCAGAATTAAATCATTTTTATTCGGAATTAAAGCTCTTATGTAAACGTGGCAACTGTGGCTCATTCCAGGCAGAGCAGTGAGATATTCATAGAAACAAGCAGGTGATGGGCCCCCCAACAAGACAGTTACATAGCGCACACTTAACTGCTGAACATTCCGCCATAGACATACATGCACTCCCACCCCAGCGTGATGTCACCTCAGATTATCAATCCAAACAGAGTGGACTGGAGGTAACAGGGAGGTGCCGTTTGCCCCTGGACCAGCTCTCTCCTTCAGGAATGCACAAACATTCCTGAGACCTCACTCACACATCCACGCGCTCTCGGCCTCCTCACTGCTAAAATCTACCCCCTTTTTTTTTTTTTTCTTTGTACGTTTTCTTTGAGGTGGGCCCATCCCTCTACGTTCTCATTCATGTTTTCAAAATAGCCATGGGCAGTCCAGTTTTAGCTTGCCATAATAGGAAAGTCTTGGTTAGTTTAGTGGGGTCAAACTGGTGCACTCTGTTCTTCTGTGGCAGCTTTATGATTTTTATGGTTTTGCTTTTATTTCATTTTACTAGTTTTATTGTTTTAGGACTGGTATGACCAAATTTTAGCAAGTTATCTTTTTGTTGTCTTCATTTTATGATCTCTGAGCAGCACTTTAGAAAATGCTTTTTTTTGTAAATATGCTAAATAAATAAAGTGGATTTGGATTAGGGATGGGCATTCGATGAA